ACAGGATGACGAAAATTCGCTACGTGTCAACCGCAGCTCCCATGTTCACAGTGTCCCTACGGATGCGGCGCGGGTAGGAGCCGGAACCCCCTGAAATAACCGTGCACATCCTCACCATAGGAGGCACAACTCGTATTCTAAGATCCCATGATTATGTTTATTCAGAACAATAACTAAGAAAGGGTTGCCAGCAATGCTCGCTCTAAGCTGTGGAGTCCTGTGAGCCAAAATTCTACTTTGGAAGCTACCGGCATTGAAGTTGGGAGCGAGCGATTTGGCCTCTGTATGAATTAGTTTGCTCCGGAGGGAAGGCAAAAACATGTGAGCCGGAGGCTAAAAAAAACTGTGAGCTAGCTCACACCAACTCAGCTTAGAGGGAACACTGGTTCCCAGGCGGCAGCTGGCAACCCCCAGGAGACATCAAGACACTGGTGCCCAGGTCACTAGTTCTGCGCCGGTGTTATGCCAGCACACTGACAACCTGAGAAACATTTACCAAAAAAAACACAAAAAAACCCTATGGTTTTACCATAGGGGTTTTGTAAATGCTAGAGTATCCACTATGTCAAGTCTAGCTTTTACCGGAAGTGATGTTTTTAAATGCTCCCTGGCGTTATGTCCACTGTGTTACGTCTGGTTTCGACCAGAACTTACGCCTTTACATACTTTAGCCTTTAAAAAAAAAAACTCCATGGTTTTACCACAGAGCTTTTGTGAATGCTAGAGCATCCACTATGTCACTTCTGATTTTTATCGGAAGTGAAAGCTTTAGATGCTCTAGAATTTACAAAAACTCTATGGTAAAACCATAGGGCTGGCGACCTAGGACCCGGTAAAAAGTCTCCCGCTATAGTGGGAGGCCTGGCCATCCCTCGTGTTACCCGGTTACTTCTTCACCCGAAGAGTGATTAACACGTGGAATCCACTGCCACAGGAGGTGGTGGTGGCCACAAGCATGGATGGCTTCAAGAGGAAACTGGATAAGCATATGGAGCAGAGGTCCATCAGTGGCGATTAGCCACAAGGTACAGACAGGAACTCTCAGGCTGGGGCAGGTGATGCTCTGTATTCTTGGTGCTTGGGGGGGGGCAACAGTGGGAGGGCTTCTAGTGTCCTGGCCCCACTGCTGGACCTCCTGATGGCAGCTGGTATTTCTGGCCACTGTGTGACAGAGTGTTGGACTAGATGGGCCACTGGCCTGATCCAACACTTGCTTCTCTTATGTTCTTAATATGGAGCAGAGGTCCATCTGTGGCTCTTAGCCACAAGGGATAGATAGGAAATCTCAGTCTGGGGCAAGGGATGCTCTGTATTCTTGGTGCCTGGGGAGGGGGCAACAGTGGGAGGGCTTCTAGTATCCTGGCCCCACTGCTGGACCTCCTGATGGCACTGGTATTTTAGGCCACTGTGTGACACAGAGTGTTGGACTGGATGGGCCTTTGGCCCGATCCAACATTGGATTCTCTTATGTTCTTATGTTCAGTCTCATGATAAAGGAAAATGGCTCCTACTCCTTCTTCCCTGCCCACATTTGCAGCCAAACCCCACGGCAAGACTGCAGGGCTGTGTGCGGATGTACAAGGACTGTATTCTTCTTCCGTCCTTCTACATTTAATTTCCCTTCTGTTTCCCGTCCTGGCCTTTTGTCTCACTTTAAATACCTAGAGGAGCTTTCGTAATGAGGGCCGGTGTTCCCAGAGCTTGGAAATGCAGGTCACACTCCAGCTACGGAACCTGGGGGGCTGCAAGAGATCAGATTGCGCAGTCTGAATTTAGCAAAGGAACATGGAGGTTTGTTTTCATAGCTGGCTCCTGTGATCCCGCCCTGGGAAGCCGCGAAGGGTGGGGAGAAGGCAGAACTGACGTAGGCAGAACTGACGTCAGTTTCGAGACCAGCATTGCATATTGGGAAGCCTGCTGGCTTTGCTTCAAGGAGTAGAACTGCAGTCAGCGTGTGGATCCTGCCCCTATCGTACCACTCAGCTCAGAAGCTGATGCCGTTCTCCAGCCGAAGGCATTTTAAGTCGCCCTTCCACTGGAGGAAGACCCTCTTAAGTTGGAAGAAAGCTCCCTAAGCTGAAAGTAGGTTCCTTAAAGAGTGGCTGGATCCACCCCAAGAGCCCAAAAGTACATTAAGGGCAGTGTTCCCTCTAAGCTGAGCTAGTGTGAGTTAGCTCACAGCTTTTTAGCCTCCAGCTCACACATTTTGGTCCTAGCTCAGGAAGGAGGGCTCCAGAGCAAACGGATTTATGTAGCAGCCGAATCACTCACTCACAATTTTAATGCCAGTCGCTCACAAAGTTGAATTTTTGCTCACAGGACTCCACAGCTTAGAGGGAGCATTGCTTGCAACCAGTGTTCCCTCTAAGCTGAATCAGTGCGAGCTAGTTCATAGTCTTTAGCCTCCAGCTCACACATTTTTGTCTTAGCTCAGGAAGGATGGCTCCAGAGCAAACTGATTTATGCAGTAGACAAACTGCTCGCTCACAACTCTAATGCCAGAGGCTCACAAAGCAGAACTTTTGCTCACAAGACTCCACAGCTTAGAGGGAGCATTGATTAAGGGCATTCTTGGTAGGAAGAAATGGATCCGGGCTGGAGGTCCACCAAGCATGGGGCAGTCTACAGGCAGCCCGGTCTGTGCTTTAACAATGAGTAGCTCAGAAGCCAGGCTGTGGTGGAATCCCGTTAGATGAAAGTGGCTGAACAGGTTGCAGCGGTCCTCAGCAGAGAGGAGGAAAGTTGCCACGGGGACACAAAGCATAAGGTCCCAGGGTCCCACCGTTCGAGCCCTCCTCCCCGGTTCAAGACCCCTGGCACCTTATGCACAGAAGAAGAAGAAGAAGAAGAAGAAGAAGAAGAAGAAGAAGAAGAAGAAGAAGAAGAAGAAGAAGAAGAAGAAGAAGAAGAAGAAGAAGAAGAAGAAGA